AAATAGCAGGTCACAAGAGAGTGACAAACATACAAAAGAAGTAGAGGAAAATGACAATAGAAATGATCAGGAAAGAAAAAGCAGCAGTTCTCTGTAGTAGATCAGGCACAGTTATGAGCGTGACATGAGTCAGCCCATTTACAATCAATTCTACTATGCTTGAACGAGAAATGTCCCCCCTTTGGGAATGGCCTAAAGACACTACAGTCAGTGGCACTGCCCCAGGGGGGTCACAAAAACTTTGACCACATAAAATAGAGTTGTCCCAGGAGGGCTGGCGATGAGTTACCTCCCTGCCGCACCACATCTGATGGTGACGATAGTAGTGGGGAAAGCGGAAGCGTTTGCTGCACTTGTTGCACTCAATGTATTTCAGGTGCCGGATGATGAACAGTGGGTTGTCGATTCCTTCCGGGTTTTTCTTCGACCACTGGGAAAGAAAAAAAAATGTTGTAATAAATTTTTAACATTTAAAACACCAATAAAAAATAAACTGCCGAAGCTGTAAGAGTGTAAATTTCTAAAACAATCTTGTAAGTTGTTTTATTTTTCGTAACATAGTTCAGGCTTTTCGGCAAAACAATTTTAAAAATATGTATCTTGAGAAGATTAGCTACAACTTTGAAACCTTGGAATTTTTTTTTTCATTTGCACAACTTAGAATCAAAGCAGGAAGACGAAATGGTTGAATATAAAAAATTGCTCACTTCATCTGGTGAAAGCAGTCAAGGCCAACATGAAAAGTATGGACAAAAAGCAGAGAGAACAATTCCGGAAAAAATTAACATTAAGAAAAAGGTGGAATGATATGTGGACATCAACACAGGAGTTCATTAATGGTAAATATGCGTGTTTGTGTGTGCGTGTGTGTGTGTGTGCATGCATGTTTGTGTAAGAAAGGATGTGCATACTTGCTAGTATGCATGTGTGTGTGTGCTTGTGTGTGTGTGTGTGTGTTTGTGTGCATATATTTGTGTGTGTGTGTGTGTGTGTGTGTGTGTGTGTGTCTACGACAGAGAGCGCACATGCTTGCTTGCGTGAGCACCCATGTTTGTGTATACGTGTAAGTGTCTGCGGCTGAGAAAGAGTACAATGTCGCCCGACCACGG